AGTATTGTGATTTATTAATAAATTCACTTGTGGGGGGGAAAGAGGAAAGTAGGGGAAAAAAATATTACATTCCCAAGCCAGAGTGCAACAAAGTCCCTTGTGATACTCACTGCAGCAGGGAAGAGGAGAGCTACTGAAGGAGCCACCAACATCAAAACCTGCTGAATTCCTGTTACCCCCAGGATAATACCTGCACTGAAACTCTTTTGTTTTGGCATAATTCCCTGTCCAAGGCACGCCTCCAGAAAGCAGGGCTTCCAGAAATAATATCCCAGGACGGGGAGCACCGAGGAGCCAGGGCAGTAACCTTCACCCAGGCCTTTCAATTCAGTTTTGTGTGAATTACAGCAAATTGCTGCGTGTGCTTGTGCTGGACGCAGAGCAGTTGAAAAGCTGCTCATTTCCCCACCAAAGCAGCTCTTTGGGAGTCGATTGGTGTTCCCCAGGAACTGAAACACGGCACAGCATTGGAAATGACAGAATAGCACAGTGCAATTTCACTAAGGATGCACAGGATGTTATAGGAATAATATTTTTCTGAGTTTCAAGACTGAAGTTAGAGAAGCTCTTTACAATTTGCATGTGAGGTGCTGCTCCACTCTAGTGGCAGACACTCCCCAGAGCCCAGGCTAATAAGCAATAATTGGTAATGGAGAATGGGATAGAATGGGACCTCCTCCAGCTCCCTGCCCAGGGCCCCCCTGACCCACTGCATCACTGGCTGTGGCTGCTCATCCCAGAGCTGTGGATGGAGCAGCACAGGACATTCCAGGGAATGGCACCAACCTGGCTTTGGAGTTTCACTCCTGGAAAACCACTACATCACAACAACTTACACTATGAAAACATCCAAACAGGGAAATTCACATACTTTAAATAATAGCTGATTTCAGTTATTTTCCATAATTTTTTCCCCCTTTTTGTTTTTGTTAGATCACACTTAATATGATTCCATGACACCGATGCTGGGGATGAAATTGAAAGCTATATTCTTCTAAATCTGTTCCCAACATTCCATTTTTTACAGAGCTGCCAGGGGCTATTCTGCATTCCCACAACGGCTACAAATGTAACATATTGTTTTGCAATAAAAATTAGCTATAAAAGTGTGAAAAACGCCAGAGATCCAAATGTGAGAAACAAGAGAAGGGGGTACGGCTTTCGCACACTTTTAGTGGACATTTTATTTATTTTTCAAATGGAGTAGACATATTTATAGCTACTGTATTTCAATTATCTCTAATTTCACACATTTTATGCAGATTCTAGGCATTTTAATTGCAAATGAGGAGGGAACTTATTTTTAAAAGTGGAGCAACACAACATTTCAGATCTCAATTTTAATTCCAAATTTATCCACATCACTGTTAAAAACTTTTAAAATCTCATTTACACTGTGACTTAAAATTAGGTGCGATTTCAAACAAAAACAAAAGACCTCCATACCTATGAGTTAGAGCGCCAAAACCTCTCTCACACATTTTCACATCTTTTCTTTCTGAATTAAAATTTTTAGGTAGGAAAGTTTGGGAAGCTGAAATGACATTATTAATCGGTGACACATTATTTCAACAAGAGTCAGTAATTTAATAGTATTGTCCATAACTGATGAAAATTAATACATTACCCACCCTATTTTCTCTTTCTGTCTCTGTGCCTCCAATAACCCAGGGCATGGGTTATTAGCTCAATCCCTGCTCAGCCGTCACTCAATGGGAAATTCTTCCAAGGGGATAAAACACAGCTCAGCCTTTGGCTGGATAAAAATTCCCAGTGTACACTAAAAGCATTAGTGACAAATGCTGCTCTTTTCCAAGTGGTATTCCCGGTAGCTTACTCCTATGGAACGCTAATAAGCTAAATAAAATGTTTGTGACAAATTCCAAGCCACCTGAACCCGTGCTGGTCTGAGGCAGGGACAGTTTTCCAAAGGAACCTAGAGCTCCAAATTAACCTAACAGGTTTAAAATCACACATGTGCCTATGGAGCCTTCTAGGATGGGAATCCACTGCTTGACTTCATACTAGCCAATGGAATAGATCTTTAGAAGTTCCAACTACTTACTGAAAGGCACAAAATAATTTTATTATAAATGGAAATTTACTGTCTGGAGCATGCGGAGTTTTTCTCTGCTTTCTTTCTGTTTGGTAATTTATTTAAATGCATTCCAAAATGCATTCAGAAAATGAGACATAGCACTTTGGTTAAGACATCTGTATTTCAAACCAACATCTTCAGAACTGTGAGCAGCTCTGTTAATAGTCTTTTTATTTGATTAGGGTAATCTGCTGCTGTGCTGTGTTAATCTTTATCCACTACCTTTTAACCAATCAATATTTTAGGTTTATAGATTTGGAAGGTAGGCGATAATTTTGTAGATAAACTCTCTAGGCACTGCTGACATGGTATGGTTGCATATTTAATGTCTTTACTGAGGATTCACAACTCCAGCAGTGTAAGAATCTGCCCAGGGTTAAAAAAAAAAAAAAAAAGTTAAACCTTAAATTTTCAAAGCTGTACGCGGGGACTTGGCCACCTGCCTCCTATTAATGTCAATGAAAATTTAGAGGTAAGAAAAGCAATGTCTTTTCCCTCAGATCATTCCTGCTTTGAAAGGAACCAGAGAACAAGAGAGAGGAAATTAAAAGCAACTTCGTACCACAGGCCAACACCAGCCAGGCCTGGTGGTGAGGCAGGAACAGTACAGAGGCAAAACATTTGTTCATTAAATAAGTGAGCATCTCCACACATATCAAAAGAGCCAGGTATGAAAAGTTCAGAAGGAAAAAAATTCGATTTTCTGGTTTTAAAATGTCATTAATATATATCTTTTTTAATTTTGCTCAGCTGAAATTATCTGTTGCTTATGATATTAATTTTGCTGCAGATAAAATTAGTTGTCAGACCTCTGTTTATGGCCTAATTACCTTTTCTAAGGAAAAAAAAAGGGCAGGAGAAATAAAAGAAAGAACAATAAAATGCAGTAATCTACTTTCCAGCAAGAGGGGTTCCTAGTGATGTGTTACCTGCGTGGACTTTACCAGAGCCATGTACATGTTTCACACACATAAAAGCAGATTTACTTGGGCTGCTTTGCCCATCTGGGCAGTGCCAGCTTCTGCCTGCCCTCATTTCTGTGCCTGGGGACAGGCAGGACAGGCCAAATCACACTCTATTATTTCTAGAGAACTGGGAATCTTGCAGTGATTTGAGTTCCTTCTAATAAGAAGACAAGTCAGGAAATTTGTGGGCAACATCTTGAAAAAAAGGCACTGTAAATTACTAATTTCTTCTCAAAATGTTTCTCCACTTTGCTTACAGCTTTGGAAAAGGTAAATGGATTGTTCATTGGTTAGAAGGGGGTGCCAGGAATGCCAAAGCATTGTAAAGAAGACTTGTACAGACTAAACCTTGTGTTACAGATGTCAGAACCAGCACATTTTGTCATGTCTCAGCCTAATTCTTCACCAAGGAGCAGAATGACGAATACTGAATACTTCTTAATAGCTCTTCTCATTATATGAAGCTCAAAATTGAAATTAATTTATACAGTATTCCTGTTAATCAAGCTGGAGCCTCAATGCCACCTCAATTGCAGCTCAACCTGGCACAGCTTGGGCAGAGCACAGACAGAAGGTGAGCGATCCTGACCTCAGACAGAGGCTGCCCTTTGAAGTGTTCTGAGCAGCATTGCCATGAGATCTGCCCAGCTGCATTTTGGAATATATTTGACAAACAAAAAAATTTGTATCTGTGTTCATTTCACAAGATATAAACGTCTCTTTCGTGGTAGGAGAAATCCTGCTCCCAGGAAGTGATCCTAATCTAATCTGACACACGGTATTTGTAACCCTACTTCAGTGTCCCAGCCTATTTACAGTGTTTACATAAAACCCCCCGAAATCTCCACATTCCCTGAAAAGTTAATCCAGTACAAATATTGACTGGCTGTCAATTGAGCATTATTGACTTGCTCCAGGACTGTGCTTTATTGCCTTAACTGATGAAACTTGTTTTCTTTGCTAAACTTAATTTCTTTTGGGCCCCCTTTGGATGAAATGTCATTTATGAGCCTGCTCCTCCTCCTCCCACAGCCATGGGGCCAACTCTTCCACCGAGCCGGAGAGGTGGGACAGCCTCAAAGCTTTGCAGAAGGAAGGCAACAAACCCACTCTGTATTCTACAAAGAAGACCTGGCCCAACACCAGTCCTATCTCCTATAAATATTTTGTCCACACCAGCTCCAACACATTTTCCTCCTTTGCTTATACAGAGAAGTGTCTCCAGCAAGGCTGGAAAGGGGCTGTGAACCCTTCAGCGAGGTCTGTGAAAAGCAAACTGATTACCAGGAGCTGAAATTCTCACTCTGGCAGTCTATAACCTTCGCTGGGAGCAGGTGGCAACTTTTTTTTAAGGAATTCTGAAATTCTAAAAGCTAAAAACCTTGGATGTCTTGCATCTCTTTATCAGGAATAGTACAAATCAGTTTGTCCAGAAGGCAAAGTTCATGAAACACACACACTCATCATGTTTTGAACACCCAAGAAAACATTATTTATCATTTCATTTTTTTTAAATCTGTGGTCTCCAGATACAGCAAAACAGAAACCAAAAATAGCAACTTTCACAACATTCCCTGATTCTGCAACAAATTCCATCAACCATTCTAAGTTCTGATCCCCAGGTCAAGTGAGACTGACAATAAATCTTAAGAAGGATTTGATATCGTTAAGCTGCAAAACCCAAAAATCCATTACAAAAGATTTATCTGAACATATAAAGAACTAACCCAAAACGTTTCAGTCAGCGTGGGGAGGGACAAAAGGGTGCCATGGCAGCCAGGGAAGGAAGGGGAGATCCCAAATGACCAAAGCCAGTTACAAAGCAAGTATTTTTCTCTGATCTCACAACAACATTTAGTAAGGAATCTGCCCAAAAATGCAATTACCACAGACATGGGGGTTTGCTGGTGAAGGAATGCACCAGAGCAGGCACTTACAGTTTGCAGAGCTCCATCTGCTTCTCCACACGGGGCCACTCCTTGAGCCCTGCTCAGCTCCAGGGCAGGATTTGGTGCCATGATCTGCTCTTTCCTCTGTTGTCACGAGCTGCCTGGAGAGAGGGGCAAGGAGAGGGAAAAACAGGAATGTGTCACATTGCTACAGCTTCATTTGATATTCTTTATAACTTTTCATGTCTGGCTCAGGTGGGGATACAGTCCAGTTCTTCAATCAAACATTTTCAGACCATCCCTTTAGCAGCAGAACAAAGCCATGACAGTTTTGCTCTCAGTTTGCCAGCCACACGAGCAAGTTTGCTCCTGCCTAGTTTATTTTTTAATTTTATTTTAGCCCATTTTTTTCTACAGGGCTTCCCTTCTTTTTAAATGAAAGGCTTCTTCTGAACACTTGACAAATGAAAGAATCCACCCTATAACACCAGCTATGCCAAGAATGCACCTGCTCTCTGTGAAAATACTTTGGCTGTCTTGAATGAAGTTAAATATTAACATTTTCATTAGTCTGTAAGTTTTGGGGGTGGGTTGGCATAAAAATAAAAAACAAACAAACAAGAAACCCTGGCTATGACAAATTTTACTTTTTTGAATTAAATGTGGCTGATAGGATTTTTAACAATTTTTTCTTTTATCTTTCAAATCCTGCAAATGAATTCAAGGTGTCTAAGCCAGTTTAGTAAAGAACCCCCATGCACAGAATTATAGCAGAGTCAGGAAACCCCTGCAATCGAGGCTCCAGGGGACCCCAGATGTATTTAAACCAACCACAGTCACACCATTAGCATGAGGTGCAAAAAGTGCCAAAACAAGACAAAAACACTGACAGCCCATATGTTTAAAAGCTTGGGTTTTGCTGTTGCTCAAAATCCTTCCCTCCCCACATACCTGTACATAATAATAATCATAATCACCATCATCATAAAAAATAAGCCCTCAAGATCAAATAGTCAGTGGTATCTTAAGAGAAAAGAAGACGACAGGCTTAGGAAACCAAATCCTTGTAATAAATAATATATGATGAGTTAAGGAGATGAACTGACAAAGTGGTGCACCTCTAATCTCTCCCCTGCAAGAGAGGGAAGAGCTGAATCACTTGCACAACATTTTTCTTTGAGCATGGTCAGGGGTTGCTCCTCCACTCCAGTTTCTCAGCAAATATGCTCTACTCATTTCCCAGCCTAAGCTACATGGCAGCAGCAGAGCCAGTTTTCACCTGCAATTCTACAGTATCAGAATAAAATTTTGGAATATTCTCTTATTAATATGCAATTATTTCAGAGGAGGTTTGACTTGGAGATGAGAGAGTCAAGCTAGTGAAGTCCTGCTGGACACCAAGGGCCCCCTCACTCAGGACTCCCAGCTATCCTTTATTCCAAACTTGAAATGACACCTCCACCTAAACAGCAATTTTAAATAACAAACTACACTAGGCAAAAAAAAAAATCCCGCAGCATGGCCAAGATGCCAGGCACATAAAGAAAATTAACTGGCCCATATTTCTGAGCAATAAAATCAATGTCACCTTTTTATACCTTCAGCCCCCTTGTCTAATGTCCCTCAGCAGATTCCTGCCAGTGCTGTGCAGCTCTTCCAGGCAAGGCAGGGGTAAAAGCCTGTGAGCAAGGACTTCCCACCTTCCACCAGTCCCATCCTTCTCTACTGAACACATCCCTTCAGTTTTTCCTCTCTCAGCTTTGCAAACTGGGAAAAAAGCATCACTAAAACATTCGGGACCTAAAAACACAGGAGTTTTTCTAAAAAATATACACCTTCCAAGCAATAATTGTGTGTGACATATCACACAAGAATTTGTTCCAATAGTCTAAGAAAGAATTTCAATGTTAAAGACAAGGAGGAAAAAAAGAAATAAAGGAAGACCAAAATACTGCTTTAATCAGTGATAAAGAAGTATATTTCAAATTGCAAATTATTTATTTTTGACTTTATTATTATTTTTGACTCTTTTTAGTATTGCAGATTTTACAACTCCACAACAATCCCCAGAAGCAACTGTGCCCACAATTATGTCTAAATGGAGCTGTTACTGGTCAGCAGCTCAGAGGACCACAGTGACACAGCTGAGACTCATAATCCAAGTCAAACACACACAAGTAGGAGCACTAAGAAAGTGTAAGAAGAGTATTAAGGGATTAAGAAAATTCTAGAAAAAAGCCATGTCAGTGGCAAATACAAGTAATTGGTTTTCCAAGTTTGACTCTTCTTCAGTAGTGTTAGGGACAACCCCAAAGAGAATTGAGAAACGAGAATATATTTTGCAAAACATTTGTTCACAGCCCAGTACTTTTGCATTAAAATCAGCTCACCTCCCAAATCCCTTTTCTCCTTCACCACATCCCACACTCATGTTTACCTTTTCTCACTGCTGCTACATATTTTTTCCCTGCTGAAGTCTTTTATTTTCTCACCACAATGCGAGTGGTTGCCAAAACTGTGGCTGGTTTGGCCTTCCCAGTGCAGAGCAGTGGGAAAAGGAATCATCAGTGCACTGACTGACAGCTATTGCTGCTGGCAAAGGCAGGAACTGCAGTTGGATTTTAAAATGATAAAAAAAAAAAAAAAAGGAAAAAAAAGGCAGGAGAGGAAAAGGGGGGAAGACACCATTTTTTCAGCCCAGCTATTTGAAAGATAATTGCTGTAATTTTGTCTCTCCTCAATCTTCCCACTAGGCAAGCTTACCGAGGAAGGCAAATTTCTGGTTCTTAAAAGTGCTATCATTCACACTTTTCTAGAAGAAGTTTGATTAGTTTGAAATCTACACTTGACCATTACAAAATTCTAGGACAAAAACTAAAAAAATGGGGAAAAAAAAAAAAGTCAAAGAAAGTGAAACAGAAAGACCAAAAAACCCCCAAAGAAAATAATTCAAACCCTATCCCCACTGCTGGAGAAAAGAAAAAAAATATTTTCACTTTGTCTGGCACAGTGTTTTCATGTTTTTTAAATTGCTCTGTATTTTCACAGCTTCAGATATTTCTGGAATACGGAATTTGCATTTTCTAGGTGGGGAACACTGCCAAAGTTGTTAATCCCAGGCAGATGTAAAGTTGCACCACTATATTGTGATGTGGCTCCTTAAAAACAACCTAAAAACATTAAAAAACATAAAAAACCCACAAAAAACCAACCACCCAACAACCACCACAAATATCCACTAACCCATATGGTCAATAATTGCTGTTTAATAGTCCTCCTATTACAAACCTAAAAAGCAGCAGCCAGAATTACCAGTAGAGTATTAATAAACAGGAATGAGTTAATAGCGCATAAAGACCTTCTAGTGGAACAGTGGGGGAGTTGAATATTCTTTTCTTAAGTCAGCTGTAAGTAATTACTACATGGTGTGCTTCTGACTATTACCATAACAGAGCAATTGGACGTGAAGAATGGATAATAGTATGGACATGGAGGTATTTTTAGAATATCAGCAGTGAGGTAGGTAAATGCCCTACCCGGGCACAAACCTTTCAATAAGTTGAAATAACTTTTCCTAATGACACCTAGCCTGGGCAGATTTCTGTAAAGATCAATCTAATAAATTATTAAAGTAACTTTATAAAGACATGGCTGTGATATGTAAATAAGGGAAACAGCAAAAAAATTCCCAGCCGTTGAGCAGGCAGGCAGGCAGCACTGCAGTAAGTGCATAATCACAGGTTTCTGTGTTTCCTTTAGAGCAGTGCCTTCCTCTGTCTGAACAGGGACTGTGCTCCGCTCGCCTCCATTGGCTGCTCCGGTGCAAACTCCTACATTCCATCAGGAGGGGAGCTGTGAGTGCAGGACTTGTGGGGTTTGGACAGCTGAGGTCATCCTCAGTGATTTAATTTGTTTTAAGATACCATTGTGGGAGCATTCAGGGAGACACAGCTCTGTGTTCCTGGGACTATCCAGCAGCTAAGAGCAAGTGCAGGAGGAGATTTTGTCCATCCACACAACCATATAAAACCAGCCTGAGCCTTAATTCAGAGAATAGTAATTTTATAAATGCGCTGAAACATAATTTAAAGAGTATTTTGAATTTTTCAGGTCTTTCTCCTGCTATGTTGCTACACAGGGCAGATGTTGATTTTTCAATTTGCAGGTTTGTTAAGCATCATGGAATGTTTTGGTTCTCAATCAAGAATATTCTTCCCAAGTGGTTGCAAAGTCCTATGCCTGAAAATAAATGCATGTCCTTTTTGTTTCTTAGCAGCACGTGTTCTGCATTCAATAGACGCAGAAAAATAAAACTGATAATGTGATGCTATTTGTTGGACCAATATATGCATTTTTAGACTTCAGCTCTCAGAATGCAATGTGTTCGCAGGTTATTGTCTACAAACACAGCCTATAGAAGGCAAGAAGCAGTTTCATTCACAGGGTGTCATCCCAACAGCTCTACTCAGAGAATTCTGCACTGTGTTGTCCTTGGTGTTAGGTCCATCCACTGAGTGCCCCATCACAGTCAGCTCCTGATCACCTTATCAAAGCAACAGCCCCTTCCCTGGTAACGTTAATGGTGAACACTGTGCACACACAAGGAATTTTAGAAAGAGGGAATGTTTCTCATTTGCATGCACACCAACAGATGGGGTGAAATAATTTTCTCTTCCCTAAAGACAGCAGAGATTGAGCTGCTGAGTTCCCCATAGTATTTCCTATGTTCAACAGCAGTTTCTGACTAATCTGCTGCAGTAGCCTTGGTATCAGTCCTGGATTTCTGTGCAGCAATCAGACAGAGCCACAGAAATCACACTGTGCCACATCCACCTCTGCATAAAGTTGCTGACTTGAGGGCATTTCATCAGGACGGGTTTGGCCCTTTGCAGTCTTCTGCCCCATTAAATCTGAAGATTATGTGTTGTTCTTAGTCACTCCAATGTTATCATAATGGAGAGATGATGTTATAATGCAGGTCAAACAAACAGCTAATTGTTCTTGGGCATGGCTCGAGCAGAAACAGAATGGAGAGGCTGGAGACATTAATAACAGTACTTGGTGCAATTATAATAGATAGCTTCTATCAGAGGATTTCAAATGGCTTTGTGAGCCTTGCTAGCACATTGCTAAGTGTTTTTGATACTCCCATTTGAA